CGAACCCACCTAGCTTTTCGCGAAGCTTCCTTAACACTAAAGTTTCCTTTAGTTGACCTTTTAGACTATATACTTTAAAAGGGTTTGTGATATATATATATATATATATATATATATTTACATAGATAAAAAGAATAGAAAAAAGAAGGAAGGAAGAAATTTCGTTATGCTGATGAAGCCGAACGATTATCAATCGCAACTTGCAGACGAGAAACACACTCTCTCTCTCTCTCTTTCTCTCTCTCTACGAGTATACACGAAATCGTTTCAAACGATTAGGTGTATTATCCTTGAAAGCAGGATCCTACTTATTTCTTATCTTCATCGTCCGTACCTTTACCAACGAGTCCAACGTCTTCGTCGATATCGTTCGTTAAAGCAGAAAGTTAGGAAAGAATGAGAGAGAGAGAGAGATAGATAGATAGATAAATAGATAGATAAAGAGAGAGAGAGAGAGAGAGAAAACAAGCGTATCGTCTAACAAGATGCCGAGCATCATTTTACTTGCTATCGTCCTCCAACAAAATTTCCTCGCCATTCTGAAAATACTTTTAAACCGGCTAACAGAAGAGAGAGAGAGAGAGAAAGGAAGAAAAAAAGATCCCTTTTAAATGGACTTTCACGCTTGATTAATGATATACTAATTAGTAAATTAACTTCTCTTAAGATAAGATAAAAAGAACACGCCCCGCCCCCTCTCCCCCTTCCCCCACCCAACCACCCATTTTTCCTTCTTACAATTTATGAAAGATAAGTCTTATTCCTTTAATACTTTCCAGTCATTACGAATTGATTTTCATTTCTTTCATTTTTTTTTTTTTCGAAAGGGGAAAAAAAAAAATGAAAAAACTATACAAGAAAATATATATATATATATATATAAGGATAAAATATAATATAATGAGATTTCATTGGAAAATGAACTTTAGCGAGTCGACAAAAATTTATAATTAACGAATGTACTAATTATGAAAATTAGATATTTCCCCCTTGGCAAAACTACTCTTTTCCTCTTAACAATGTTACTTACTTAGGACAAGGGGAAAATAATAATAATCTATTTATGAGATACAAATGTATGCATTGTTTGGAATCGTAGCTAATTGATTCTATTTTCTTCTAGACGAGGATTAGCAATAAAAATAACTACGTTGATGTTTAAACCCGACGAATGCAATTAACTCCGACGTGAAAACGTCGAAACACGCGAGAGAATGCAACAACAACCCCGTTCCTCCTCCACCCCCATCCCCCCACCTCCTCCTCCTACCTCCTGCGTCGACATTAATTTTCTTTCATTTCCTGTTTCGACCGCAGCACGATCTCTTGCGGTGTGACGGTAACTCTCCCACCCTTTTTCCATTCTCTCCCAACCCTCATCACCTCCACCCTCACCACCACCCTCACCCTCTCACTCTCTTTCTTTCTATTTCTATTTCTCGCCCCCCCATTCACTTTTAACTTCTGTCTTTTTCTCTCTTTTACTCTCTTTACTTTTGACATTGTTCTTGTCTAAGTTTAATATAACTTTGCACGCATGCTGGTACTATTATAACCTGCACGCACGCAGGTAGCTATGTACATGACGTGTGGGAACGTTAATGTTTCATCATACAGTTAGACCTTAACGCGACAACATCGTCGAGTAACTACGTGATGACGACAACGACGAATAAGGAGATAAGGAGGAAGGAAGGAAGGAAGGAAGGAAGGAAGGAAGGAAGGTTAAAGGGGTGAGGGTGGAAAGAGAGCTGCAATGAACAGGGAAAGTGGAGAAAAGCCGCATCACGCGTTCCTCGAAGGAAGGAAGGAAGGAAGGAAGGAAGGAAGTGGTGAAACACTGAAAGAGGTACACTTAATTTCTGCTTAATAAAACTTGTAGAACGTTAGACATAAAAGTGAAACGATAATATATCTTGTATATGTGCATATTTATGTATACGTGCATATTTATGTATATATGTATGTATATATGTGCATTTAAATCGATCCACTTGATTATTTTCCAAACTGTTGACAGTAGAAACAAATGTTTTAGATAAAGTTGATATGATTTTGTGGGGGCGGGGGGGGGCACGTTATTAGATATTATTAGTTTTTTTTATAGGTAAATGCGTATTGGTCACGTGTAAATAAACTTTAATTTTTTTTTTTAAAGTAATGACACATAACATGCTGCAAATGCTTCTTTTGCCTTTTTTTTTTTTAGTTTGAAAAAGTATATTTTTTATTTCAATCTCTTTTTAACATAGATAAAATAAGTCAAAAATATTTTTAGAAAAAACTTTAACATATAAAATATATTATAGTCTATGATTGATTATAACAGTGTATAAATCTCATCATAGTGTTTAACATGGATAAACATCACATCTTTGTAAATATTTTATTCTACGGTTTGTTTGCCACTGTGACATTTTAATATAGATAATAGTAGTATGGGAAAAATTTAAATAAAAAAAAATCAATAAACCTAACATTTATCAGTCTTATTCTAATATAAATTATACTTAATACTACGATTATTCACATATGTACAATGTACTTCTTTTGGTTATCGATATTAAACAATGTAGAAAAATATTTGAAAAGAAACTTTGTCAGCAACGAAATGTACTTTGAAAGAACTGTAAAAACATTAAATTGATGCCATAGATGAACAATAGATAAGCCTGCATATCTAAAAACATAGTCAACTCGAAATCATACATAGCGTGGCACGGAAAGAACTTATGGGACAATCTAATATAAGAAGAATGCATTAGTGCATTAAAATAATTATTAATTAATCGAAATAGAAATGTCTATCGTTGTTTAAAAGCACGGAATATATGATC